CGGTTCCCCCAGATAATATTAAAATAATCAAAGATATTTTGGAGGTAAAATGTGAGCTGTTGATTTTCTTTTTTTATAAAATTTAATTTACATCAATTTTAGAGCAACAATATCAGTAGAGAATCACTTTTGAATTATGTAAGAGTTTTGACACTGTCACCAACCACAGTGAAATTGAGATTTGAAGAAATTGAAGCAATCCCAGAGTTGAAAGTTTTGAAAACACATCCTAGAATATTGTGCTTGATTGGTCATCATAACAGAGCCCGTTCCAGGTTGTCATTCTTGAAAGATATGAAGTTAAACTGTGCAAATTTAGGGATATTGGGTGAGCTATATTCCTTTTATAGTTGTTTAACCAAATTTTGTAATTTAATAAAATTTAAAATGATTTTTAAAAAATATTTTTCCTACATTTAATAGCTAACAATCTAGAAATGAGTTTTTGCATGTAAGAGTGTTCAATACTTTCAGTGTAATGTGAAATAATAATAATTTTTAATTAATTAATTAATTTTAGGTGACCACTCAGTTAGTTTTGATGCTCATATCAAGGAAGGAGTTGATGAGAACTCGATAATGGCTTTAAAACGATTTATGCAATCGATTTTAAAAAGAGATTACAGAGAATTTGAAAAAGACCTGAAAAGGCATCCATTTTACTTAAAAGTACCTTTTCTACAAATACAAGAAACGTTACAGTATTTGGAAGAAAGAAACTATGAAATCCCTACAATATTAAAAGCCATTCAAATATTACTTTATCCCAAGTAAGATCATCTGATATTAATATTTTTATTGTACTTTCTATGTAACTGTGAATTTTAGAGAAACGATTATAAAAACTTTTAAAAATATGGACAGTAATTTAGAAATAAAATTAGCACGTCTTACTGACTTACAGAAATTAAATTTAGCACTCTATCTTATGGAGAAAAGACATCACTTTACTGGAAATGGTATTTGGAAGAACAGTTAATACATACTTCGTTTGTATTTATATTTTATTATTAAATCATGATGATGATAAGCAATTATCAATGTACTTTTGTAATTATCGGAATGAATTTCGTGAAATACAAATATGTGATAAAAAACAACCTTTTTTTTTCAAAAGTCTATTTTAAAAAAAATTAAAACAATGAAAGGATAAAACGTTCGTTATACATAATTAATTAACTTTGGTATCTGACAGCAGATCACATTTTGCATGAAAATTTTCATTGCACTAAGAACAACGTATAAAAAATATATATTTAACATATATAATTTAACATTAACAATTTTCTAATGTTGCGTTTTCTAAAACTGACTGCTTGCACCTATATGTTTATTGTAGCTCTGAAATAGTTGCAAAAATAATTAATTAAATAAGAATAAAAGCTTTCGCGACTATATATTAGACATGTAGAATCAGTATTTTATTTATTTAAAACGGAATCAAATTATTACCTGTTCGGCTATTCTCATTAATGTTTCTGCCATTGCTCTTCCAGTCTGTTGAACCATACTGTAGAGGAATCCTTTAGTATTCCGTAATAAAATATGTGGGTGGTCAAATTCGACCATAGACCCAGCATCCATAACCAATACCTTGTCAGAGTCCATTACAGTATGCAATCGATGAGCAATTGTAAGTACTGTACAATCTACAAACTTTTTCCTTATCGTGTGTTGAATAAGGGCATCTGTTTGTGGATCAACATTTGCTGTTGCTTCATCTAACACTAATATTCGATTATTTCGAATTATGGCTCTTGCTAAACATACCAGTTGTCTCTGGCCAACACTGAAATTTGTCCCTCCTTCGCTCATTTTTGAATTGAGGCCTTTAAAAGTCAATAGTAAATAGCAATAAATTAATAAAATGTTAGCCGAATAAATACCTGATGCTAAATCACTGACAACTTCCTTCAGTTCCACTTCTTCTAACGCCTTCCACAATGTGTCATCATCATATTCATCAAAGGGATCCAAGTTTTTTCTCATGGTTCCAGAGAACAGTACGGGCTCTTGAGGTATAATAGAAATCTTTGACCTCAAATCGTGCAATCCCAAATTTTTTATATCCACATTATCGATATAAATGTGCCCCTCTGTTTCAGTCAATTGAAATAAGGCAGCAATTAAAGATGATTTTCCAGCACCAGTTCTCCCAACAATGCCTATCTTTTCCTTATCGTGAATTGTGAAGTTAAGACTTTTAAGTACTGGGGGGTCTTGCGGAAAGTACCGGAGATACAAGTTGATAAACGTTATTGTACCCCTTTCTGGCCAGTTCTTCGGTGGTTTCTTCTCCTGGGGTGTTTCCAGACCTCTCTCCTTCTCAACATCACTATATTCCAAAACACGTTCTACTGAAGTCATTTGATTTTCCAATTCTGTAGACTGTCGCATCCCCCACTGGAACATTCCCGTAAGACCCAGGGCTTGAGTTATGGCTAATCCGACATTTCCGCCAAACTTTTCTACACAAACAAAACAACAGTTTTTATTACCACCTACTGAGTATATTTGAATATCAAGATACCATCTCCAAATACCAGAAAACTGAGTGTTACAACAGCTATGTAAATAACACAAATGAAATCCAACCAGAGCCCGAACGCTCTAGACGTAGAAATGAAAATGTACCACGCAGAACTGTGCAAGTCTTGGTGATTATCGAACTCCTTTTCCAAAATTTTTTGGGCTCCAAATGCTCTTATGGTAGTCATTCCTTGCAAAGATGCATTTAAATGAGCAAATACGGGACTTCGAGCTAAAAATAGTCGTTTATAAAAATTTGTGAATTAAAAAAAACTTTATAAGTATATACTTACTAATACCCTCCAACCTTTTAACACACCGACTAGTTGATAAGTAGAATATTCTTAACAAGTAGAATATGACAGCAATAATGAAAGTGGGAATCATCAAAAGGGGATTTACAATTGCCACAACAATAATTATACCAACTAGAGCTAAACTTATTTGCAATACATCTATAAGAGCTCCGGGAAGCAATTCATCAATCTGACCCATATCTTTGGAAAACCTGTTCAATATTCTTCCTGAAGAATTCGTATTAAAGAAACGCATAGTGGCGTGAGTTATGCTGTCGAACATGTTGTCATGAAGCTTTGTAGAAGATCTCATGCAAACAGCGAAAAATACAAATGATCGAATCAGGGACAAGATTACCGTTCCTACTATCAATCCAGTGTAAATATATATGCAAACGTTTTGAGATGGCTGCCAAAGGTCCAGTATAGAACTACCGAAAAAGTTAGAGCTACTTCTCGTAGCGTTGGGCATTACTGAAGAAGTACCGTTGGATATTAATGCTATTTCATAAATTTCTTCTCCTGGAAACGGACTTTTACTAGCATATGAACCATTTTCGGCTTGTAATTGTTCCAAGTTTACCCTACAATAGAGTTATTAAATAATATAATCTATATATCTATTNTTAATTAAATTTATTAGTGCTTTCAAAAAATTCCTATCGTCTTTTGTTTTCGGGTTATAAACAAATGTTGGATATTTCGAGTTTTCACTATATGTCCATAACTTGGTTGTTTATAACATTGTATTTAAACTAGTCACTTATTATTAATTATTGCCTACAATTTCAATTAAGAACAACCTAAATCAACCATAACCTAACCTTCAAAGGTCCATAATATTAAAATTAGTGAAAAATAAACAAAAAGTTTTCCGCGTTTGCGTAAAGTAATATCGTCTTCCTAAATTGTTAGCCGCTAGTAAAAAATTGTTCAAAGTTAGGTTAAGATTATTTGGCAAATTGTTCGAAACTTTGATTTGCTGTAATTTTTAACATCAAATATATGTACACCTTGCAATTATTATTCTTACCTCTCGAAGAACATAACGTCAGTATCAGACAATAGCATACTATAGTTTAAACCGATTTAATTAATATAAAAGCAGTTGAAATTTAAAACACATGCACCGACACCGTGACCGACGCGAACTTTATTATCATAGAGCACGAATAGCGAATAACGAAGACGTGATCGTGAACCGGAAGACCCATAGAAAGCCGCTTGGGAAACTTTTATAAGCTTTTACATCAGCATTTACAAATTATAGCAATATATAAACTGATATGAATAAATATAAAGAGGTAGTAAAGAAAGTTAGAATTCAAAATTATTCTCTGCAACAAATAGATTGTTTAAGAAGTAGTTTCAATATCAGATATATTTATCAAATTTTTGCATTTAATTTAATTTTAATACAATTCTAAAAAATATTTTTGTTTCTTGTTCTCTTTTGTCTATTTAAAATCAAGACCAGTGCTTGAAGCATTCGGACATCATAAATAATATAATCATAATAAAAGTCATCCCCCGCGTCTAGAAGTTTGCTTCCTCAGATCTCCTACTTTAGAGTAACGACAACGCTACATAAAGTATTCAAATACCTCTAATAAAAATAATTAAATGTTTGTAGTTATTATAATACATATTAAATGTTTAATGTACATATAATCTCATTAACACCTAATAAAAATATAAAATGAGAATGTCGCGAAATAAATAATTAAGCCAAATACGACAACACTGATTTTTCATTATTTTTTAGTATTTAAGGTAAATTCTCTTGGTTTAATCCGTTAGACCTGAAGAAATTAAAGGTGTAGCGAAAAAATTCTACCGAAAATTAATAAATTTTTGAAACTCAATAGGTACTTATANACAAACACGCTCGTGCTCGCTACAATATGTTTTTTTACGTTATGCACTGCTGTGATATTCTTTCGTCTGAAATAATACATGCGGGGTCAATTTACGTGACCAAATTTAAGGTCGATGCCCAAGACCTCCACAAAGTAGGGACCCTCACGAAAGTATATTTAAACATAAACTATAACATTTAATATTTATTAACAAAACATCTGTTTACTAAACTAAATAACGTCAACTAATAATTTTCCCTCCAAAGGAAGACTATCTTAGACATCAATAAGTTTTCAAAGTCAGCACTGCAAACTTTAACTTTAAATAGGAACAGGACTATTCAAGCAATTGAAAGGGTGAATACCGTTTTATTTAATATGTGGATCAGACTGACGTTTGACTTTGTTTTTAAATCTTCTTAAGGGTAAAAAAAAATAAAAAATAGAAGGAGGAGACTGTGGTAAATATTAATTAAAAAATTAAAAGGAATACTAATACCCCTAATTACCACAAATAATTTTATATGAGCGGACACGTGTTTCGCCCACTTCACACGTGGGCATTATCAACGCGAGACTGCATACATAGATTAAAGAAAAATATACTATCGTAAAAGTATATATATTATACATAAATCCCTAATCTATGCTACATGAAACTCAAAATTATTATTACAAATTACAAAAATATAAAACAGAACCACACATCTAGTTACATTTTCATTCTTAAAAATACAGACGTGTTACTTTATTATATGCAACCCATTCTACTAAATTTAAAAGCGTTTAATGATAGATATTTTAATAATTGTACAAGTATTCATTAACAGCCATGTGTACATATATCTCTTAGTTAAAATACAATACGTATATTAATTCTAAACAGTTCGATCATTTTCTCACTACGTACCTTTTAAAAATATTTTTCGATTTTCACCAAGTTAAAGATGATAATATCTCCTTTCGAGCTTGCTATTATACCAAAACATTACAAAAAGAAGGTGTAACTGTGTAATATATAATAATATACGAGGACTATCGAATAATAATAATTACAACAAAATGAATGCCTTACTTAACTTTCTCTTAAAACCAGAAATTTTAAATCATAAATATTATCCTATAAATAATGTAAGATAATATTTAGAATTAGACCATTTTTCGTTCTGTTGTAGAAATAATTATGCATTTTTAACATTTGTACGTCATGTTGGTTGCATACTGATCATTCTTTTCACAAAACAAAAAATTGACATAACCATAGATTATTTAACCTTACATTTAACGTTTAACTCGGTTTAACTCTACTTTTTTGCAACTTTCCAAATTCGAAATGTTTGTATTTAAATTTAATTTTAAATTGTTTAATTCGTCCGTTTTACACTTTTCTAATGCATATAAATCTCAAAGTGCTTTTGTTACAGCTATTGGTGGGTAAGTTATGATTTTTAAAAATATTGGAAATTATCAATAAAAATTACAGGTGTACATCCCACCAACGTTCCGTATTTTAAAAAAAAACATGGCCTAGAAAACATTACTGATGAGCAAATTAAAAGCACAGCGATGTTCTGTGAAATGATTGGTATATCAAAACAAGAAATCAAAGAAAATCCAAAATTCCTAAAAATTAGTTTAAAAAGTCTGGATTGTCAGCACACATTAATGTCAGAAATAGGTTTTAAAAACATTGACGCCTATTTGCTGATGTCGTTAGTACTATTAGTAGTTGTCAAGTGAATCCTTAGTTAAATTTGTTATTTTAGATACAGAAAGTGCATGAATCGCCCAGTTTCTTTATTGAAAGCGTATGGGTTTATAGATGATGACACTAATGTTGCAGAACATCTTTTATCACATTTAAAACCCACTCCAGAAAATATAAGAACTGATGATATATCTGACCATAATGTATTATTTGATATTCACAAGACTTTATTAATTAGGTACCTAAGTAAGTTGAATTTTAGCATATTTATAATACTAAGTAGACATTCACTTTTCTATTCCAGTGTGGAGATTTAAAGCATCACAAGATCAAGTCGAATCTTTCCTTAGACAATCAGGAGCAAAAACAATAAGAAGCTTTAGATTTCTATGTGAATGTATTGCCCTTGCAAGAGATTTAGGCATTTCAGAAGATCAAATGCTTACCAAATATGGTTACATATTAGGTGCCTATCCCAAATATCCTCTTACAACAATATCAGAAACCCGTGAAATATGTGGAATAACAATGAGAGAATTATATTTAAGGGACCCAATGCTAGTCACGGTTCCCCCAGATAATATTAAAATAATCAAAGATATTTTGGAGGTAAAATGTGAGCTGTTGATTTTCTTTTTTTATAAAATTTAATTTACATCAATTTTAGAGCAACAATATCAGTAGAGAATCACTTTTGAATTATGTAAGAGTTTTGACACTGTCACCAACCACAGTGAAATTGAGATTTGAAGAAATTGAAGCAATCCCAGAGTTGAAAGTTTTGAAAACACATCCTAGAATATTGTGCTTGATTGGTCATCATAACAGAGCCCGTTCCAGGTTGTCATTCTTGAAAGATATGAAGTTAAACTGTGCAAATTTAGGGATATTGGGTGAGCTATATTCCTTTTATAGTTGTTTAACCAAATTTTGTAATTTAATAAAATTTAAAATGACCTCAGATCTCCTNACATTTAATAGCTAACAATCTAGAAATGAGTTTTTGCATGTAAGAGTGTTCAATACTTTCAGTGTAATGTGAAATAATAATAATTTTTAATTAATTAATTAATTTTAGGTGACCACTCAGTTAGTTTTGATGCTCATATCAAGGAAGGAGTTGATGAGAACTCGATAATGGCTTTAAAACGATTTATGCAATCGATTTTAAAAAGAGATTACAGAGAATTTGAAAAAGACCTGAAAAGGCATCCATTTTACTTAAAAGTACCTTTTCTACAAATACAAGAAACGTTACAGTATTTGGAAGAAAGAAACTATGAAATCCCTACAATATTAAAAGCCATTCAAATATTACTTTATCCCAAGTAAGATCATCTGATATTAATATTTTTATTGTACTTTCTATGTAACTGTGAATTTTAGAGAAACGATTATAAAAACTTTTAAAAATATGGACAGTAATTTAGAAATAAAATTAGCACGTCTTACTGACTTACAGAAATTAAATTTAGCACTCTATCTTATGGAGAAAAGACATCACTTTACTGGAAATGGTATTTGGAAGAACAGTTAATACATACTTCGTTTGTATTTATATTTTATTATTAAATCATGATGATGATAAGCAATTATCAATGTACTTTTGTAATTATCGGAATGAATTTCGTGAAATACAAATATGTGATAAAAAACAACCTTTTTTTTTCAAAAGTCTATTTTAAAAAAAATTAAAACAATGAAAGGATAAAACGTTCGTTATACATAATTAATTAACTTTGGTATCTGACAGCAGATCACATTTTGCATGAAAATTTTCATTGCACTAAGAACAACGTATAAAAAATATATATTTAACATATATAATTTAACATTAACAATTTTCTAATGTTGCGTTTTCTAAAACTGACTGCTTGCACCTATATGTTTATTGTAGCTCTGAAATAGTTGCAAAAATAATTAATTAAATAAGAATAAAAGCTTTCGCGACTATATATTAGACATGTAGAATCAGTATTTTATTTATTTAAAACGGAATCAAATTATTACCTGTTCGGCTATTCTCATTAATGTTTCTGCCATTGCTCTTCCAGTCTGTTGAACCATACTGTAGAGGAATCCTTTAGTATTCCGTAATAAAATATGTGGGTGGTCAAATTCGACCATAGACCCAGCATCCATAACCAATACCTTGTCAGAGTCCATTACAGTATGCAATCGATGAGCAATTGTAAGTACTGTACAATCTACAAACTTTTTCCTTATCGTGTGTTGAATAAGGGCATCTGTTTGTGGATCAACATTTGCTGTTGCTTCATCTAACACTAATATTCGATTATTTCGAATTATGGCTCTTGCTAAACATACCAGTTGTCTCTGGCCAACACTGAAATTTGTCCCTCCTTCGCTCATTTTTGAATTGAGGCCTTTAAAAGTCAATAGTAAATAGCAATAAATTAATAAAATGTTAGCCGAATAAATACCTGATGCTAAATCACTGACAACTTCCTTCAGTTCCACTTCTTCTAACGCCTTCCACAATGTGTCATCATCATATTCATCAAAGGGATCCAAGTTTTTTCTCATGGTTCCAGAGAACAGTACGGGCTCTTGAGGTATAATAGAAATCTTTGACCTCAAATCGTGCAATCCCAAATTTTTTATATCCACATTATCGATATAAATGTGCCCCTCTGTTTCAGTCAATTGAAATAAGGCAGCAATTAAAGATGATTTTCCAGCACCAGTTCTCCCAACAATGCCTATCTTTTCCTTATCGTGAATTGTGAAGTTAAGACTTTTAAGTACTGGGGGGTCTTGCGGAAAGTACCGGAGATACAAGTTGATAAACGTTATTGTACCCCTTTCTGGCCAGTTCTTCGGTGGTTTCTTCTCCTGGGGTGTTTCCAGACCTCTCTCCTTCTCAACATCACTATATTCCAAAACACGTTCTACTGAAGTCATTTGATTTTCCAATTCTGTAGACTGTCGCATCCCCCACTGGAACATTCCCGTAAGACCCAGGGCTTGAGTTATGGCTAATCCGACATTTCCGCCAAACTTTTCTACACAAACAAAACAACAGTTTTTATTACCACCTACTGAGTATATTTGAATATCAAGATACCATCTCCAAATACCAGAAAACTGAGTGTTACAACAGCTATGTAAATAACACAAATGAAATCCAACCAGAGCCCGAACGCTCTAGACGTAGAAATGAAAATGTACCACGCAGAACTGTGCAAGTCTTGGTGATTATCGAACTCCTTTTCCAAAATTTTTTGGGCTCCAAATGCTCTTATGGTAGTCATTCCTTGCAAAGATGCATTTAAATGAGCAAATACGGGACTTCGAGCTAAAAATAGTCGTTTATAAAAATTTGTGAATTAAAAAAAACTTTATAAGTATATACTTACTAATACCCTCCAACCTTTTAACACACCGACTAGTTGATAAGTAGAATATTCTTAACAAGTAGAATATGACAGCAATAATGAAAGTGGGAATCATCAAAAGGGGATTTACAATTGCCACAACAATAATTATACCAACTAGAGCTAAACTTATTTGCAATACATCTATAAGAGCTCCGGGAAGCAATTCATCAATCTGACCCATATCTTTGGAAAACCTGTTCAATATTCTTCCTGAAGAATTCGTATTAAAGAAACGCATAGTGGCGTGAGTTATGCTGTCGAACATGTTGTCATGAAGCTTTGTAGAAGATCTCATGCAAACAGCGAAAAATACAAATGATCGAATCAGGGACAAGATTACCGTTCCTACTATCAATCCAGTGTAAATATATATGCAAACGTTTTGAGATGGCTGCCAAAGGTCCAGTATAGAACTACCGAAAAAGTTAGAGCTACTTCTCGTAGCGTTGGGCATTACTGAAGAAGTACCGTTGGATATTAATGCTATTTCATAAATTTCTTCTCCTGGAAACGGACTTTTACTAGCATATGAACCATTTTCGGCTTGTAATTGTTCCAAGTTTACCCTACAATAGAGTTATTAAATAATATAATCTATATATCTATTTTACAATAAATACTTACCAGAATGTTATAAAATAATCCCCTAAACTAGCAGCAACTTGCGACAAAAAGAAAAGCATGAACATGTTAAAAATTACGCAAATGTTGCCGCCCGCTTTAAAGTATGCTTTATAAACGTAACTTCCAATAGCGCCTGCGCCCTTTTGTTCTTCGACTTCCATTGGTACTGGACCTTTATCGTCGGTATTTGAAGAGATGCTTTGAATCGACTGCAATCTTTGCCGCGGTTGACTTTTGTCTGTCTCAATCTCAGTCTCATCAGATTGGTCGTTAAGTAACTTGGCGAAATCCAAACCAGAATCTTGCAATTCGCTATAAGTACCTTCAGCTTTCAACAAACCATCTTCAAGAATAACTATGCGGTCTGCATCTTTTAAGTACTGAAGTTGATGCGTTACCAAAATTACCGTCTTCTCCTTCAAGTAACCTGAGCAGAAAATCACAAATGTTTTTAAAAATAAAAATAAGAACTGCATTATCTTACCTGCAATACAACTTTCAAAAAGTTGTTTTCCCACGTGCGCATCAACAGCAGAAAGTGGGTCATCTAATAAATAAATATCTGCATCTTTGTAAACGGCTCTAGCAAGATTGATGCGAGCTCTTTGTCCACCACTAAGTGACACTCCTCTTTCTCCCACAATGGTCTTATCGGCATAAGGTAATAATGTAAAGTCTCTTTCTAAGGCACACTTTCTGACCACCGTTTTGTATCTCTCCCTATCCAAAGACTGTCCAAAGAGAATATTCTGTCTCACAGATCCTGCAAACAGCCATGGCTCTTGCGAAGCGTAACTGACAACGCCATTAACATCTACGTTCCCTTGCATTACTGGTAATTCCTTAAGAATTACATGCAGAAGGCTTGTTTTACCGCTCCCTACTGGTCCAATCACGGCTACTAAACTACCCTTTTTTACCCTTAAGTTAACATTAGTCAAGGTATTTTCAATCGATGTACTACTCCACTTCGCCGAAGCATTTTGAACATTAATGGCTATATCATCCCTGAAGGCATCGTCTTTCAAAGAATCCGTAAGTCTATTAGTTTCATCGCTTGAGTTTAATTGACCATCGCTCTTTCCACTGGTTTCCGGACTTTTAGCAGGCACAATAGTTTCTTCATATAGCATGAATTTATTCAGTCTGTTCACGGAAACATTAGCTTCGGCTACCTGGGCAATCCCTTGAGGGAAGAACACAGTCATGGACGGCCTCAAAATATTATAAAACGCGGTGAGAACAAAAACTTGTTCGGCATTAATAGTTTCTGCAAAGCCGGTTTGCAGTAGAACATAGGCAAGGATGCTTGCAAAAATAGAAATCCTGGTTGAAAACATTATAAACGATAATGCGATTCCTCTGATGTAGGACGTAGCCCTAATAGCTTTTATTTCGTACCTAGACAATAATTACTTTTTTAATATTAGTATATCGTATATGTTATACACTATATTTTTATTACCTACGAGATAAGGCCACAAGTTTTGCAAAAGGTTTTTCCCACGTGTACATTTTTATCACTTGAATACCCTGTATAATTTCGTTCATAAGGCGCACCCTTTCATCAGTCCTTAAGGCAATTTTTAAGCGTAATACGGACGTCTGTTTTCCTAAATAAACTGCAACGTATTCATATGTATTTATTAGTAAATTAAATATTAATAGACCAGTTAAATTAGGATTTCGAAAAAAGTAAATGTTAGCCAGGGTAAGACCTACTTAAAACTTTTGAGAAAGATATGTGTACCTGCTAAGTATCCAAAAATTTTGGTTGGAATTGTTGCTAAGTTGCGTCTAAAAACATGCGAAACAGATCTTTAATTGATTGATAACAAAAAACTATAATTTTTACAGGACAGGGCATGTAAAAGTATTAGCATTTAAAATTCCCTACAAAATAAATTTTAAAGATTAAAAATTGGATCAGTAATTGATGAGTAATGTTTAATGATACCTTGAGAATCATTATCTCTTTTAAAGCAAACAAATTAAAAAAAACAACTTGATCCGAGTCATAGTTTCCGAAATATTCTATTGCCACAAAAAAAATTAAATTGTTAATGTTAATTTCTGTAGATTTGGCAAAAGATGAGGTAATTTTGTTTGGGGCATTCGATAGTTCAAGGACTATTCTTTTAAGAACGTAATTGTACAAATCAATTTTCATAAATTAAATTGTTAAAAATTGT